ACGTGGATTCTGTAAGGACTAGTGAGAGGGAGGTAAGGAGTCTACGGGCAGGAAGAAACCAGTCTGAAGCTTAGTCAAGGGGAGGGGAATGCTAAGGCCTTATTGGTCAATAGAAAAATGTGAATTGTCTTCGTTTAAAAGTGTAAGTGTAAATCTTGTCTACTCCAACCTTCCCAGGCCCCATAAGCAGACATTTGCACAGAGATTTCCTGCAGTCACTGGCCTTCAGAAATATTCGACCAATTCGCACTACTCAAGGTGCATCTTATATAATCAAGGTAAATGTGTGTGTTTGTCCAGATGAAATGCTATCCCACCTGGGTCAGAAAGAGAATCATGGAGTTTCTCTAGTCATAGCTAAAATGAACCTCAAAAATATTTGTTCAACATCAGTTTTGTACCTGCCACCTGGACTAGGGCTTCAGTATGCACTGATCAAGACCAGTCCTTAACCTCTAGGTATTTACAGTATAGTGGGGAAGACAAATGAGTAAATAGGCAATTATAATACAGACTGATGAATCTATAATGCAGTAAATATGAGGTGCTCAGGAGCACAGAGGACGGCATGTGGATTCTGTAAGGACTAATGAGAGGGAGGTAAGGAGTCTACAGGCAGGAAGAAACCAGTCTGAAGCTTAGTCAAGGGGAGGGGAATGCTAAGGCCTTATTGGTCAATAGAAAAATTTTAGTATCAATTTTAGTATCCCAAAATTTTAGTATCAAGAACAACTTAAAGAGTTATTAATATTGGAAACAAAGTCAATACTAATGACAGCAAGAAGAAGGGAAAATGTGCCAGGAAGAAGGAAAAGCAAATACTACCACATGAGATGATTACAATTAAATAGTCAAACTCAAATGTGAAATACAAATAGTGTGAGAAGACACTTCAAATCATGCCAAGAAATTTGCATTGAATGCAGCAGAGACCCACTGATGAGTTACTCTTCAGGTAAATATTCAAGGTTTGTTCTCATTTCCCCTCCCTTCATTAATTTCTCTTCCTTTCTGAACAATTTAGTTCAAAGACATTTGGTGGAACAGAGTGTGGTAGAATGTGTTCTCTGTTGTTGGATGGAGTGTTCCATAATGTCAATTATGTCCAGTTGGTTGGTGTGATGTACTAGCTTTGTATATAATTACCTGATTTTCTGTCTTCTGCTTCTGTTATGCACTGAGAGAACGGTACTGAAAGCATAAATAATGGAAGATTTGTCTATTTTTTCTTGCTCTTCTATGAGTGTCTGCTTTCCATATATTAAAGCTTAAAGCTCTTTTATTAGGTGTTCAGATATTTGGGATTCTCAAGTTTTCTGGATGAAATGGCAGCTTTATCTTTGGAGTATGGCTTTCTTTATCCCTGTTAATGCTCTTTGCTCTGAAATACCTTTTGTCTAGTATTACTACAGCCACTCTAGTCTTCCTTAAATTAAGGATAGCTTGGTATATCTTTTCCTGTCCTTTATTTTTGTCATTTATGTAGCTTTACATTTAAAGTGAATTTCTTCTTAGCAGTATGTAGTAGAGCCTTGCTTTTTAATTCAATCTGAAATCTTTGCCTTCTCAATTGAGGTAATTGAGGTAATTTGTCTACTCCAAACTTCACATTAATTTATTCACATTTAATGTGATATTTTATATTGGTGGACTGAAATCTACCATTTTGATATTTGTTTTCTGTATGTCCCAACTGTGCTTTATTCCTTTCACCCACTTTGTTTTAACAATCGACTAATTTTAAATGATTCTATATTATCTTCATTGCTGACTTATTTTATCTACTTTCTGTTCACCTGTCTATCTATCTATGTCTCTCTCTCTATATCTATCTATCTATTCTATCCATTTGACTGGATATGTATATTAGCGGTGTTCTCTTATGTAGTTTTCTTTTTGAGTCTTGTCCTTTCTGAGTCCTTGTCCTTTTCTTAAGCCACTAGAAAATGTATGTTTTTGTTTTCAATAGACTTTGAAACATCTCAAGCAACATATCATCAAATATTTTCTTTCTGTCCATGCCCGTCCCATATCTCTTCTCTTTCAAGGATTCCAATTACATGTATATTGCATGTTAGGCTACTTAAGCTGGATGCTCTATTTTCTTGTTGGTTTGCTCCTTTTCAGGATTTTATTCTGTCTCTTTTTTGTACTGGATCTTTCTCTCTCTCGCTAGCTCTTTTTTTTTTTTTTTTTTTTTGAGTTCACAAATCTTCCCTTTTATCACATCTAATCATGCATTTTTCATCTAAGGCATTGTGTGTTTCATCTCTAGTATTTTGACTTGGGTGTTTTTATATCTTCCTTGTTTCTACAAGCTCAGTATTCCCTCTAACTTTCTAAACATCAGGAATATGTTATGATAACTATTATAATACCCTCGTTTACTAATTCTATCATTTATACCACCTTTTGGTGATTGACATTTCTCCTGGTTATGGGTCAAGATTTCCTGCTTCTTTGCATTACTATTGATTTTTATTAGATCACAATCATTGTGAATTTTACCTTGTTTGGCTGCTGGGTATGGTTATATTCAGGTAAATACTCTTGAACTTCGTTCTTGGATTCATTAAATTACTTAGAAACAGTTTGGTCTTTTTGAGGCTTGCCTTTACACTTTTTTAGGTGGGATTATATCAACCTTTAGTCAAGGGCTAATTTTGCCCTATGACAAAGCCAATGTTCTTCTGAGGAGTCTACCCACTGACCCTTTTATTGCAAAAGTTTCTGCTCTCACTGATGAGAAACATCAGTCATGTCCAGTCCTATTAGTGCTAAGGGGATTCTTCCTTCTATTTCTTTCCTAGTCATGGGTGGTCTCCTCACTGTTGGTGACGAGATCTAATGTACACACCAGGATAGATGTGGAGAGGGCTGATGGCCACTCTGAGTTTATTGTAACCAGCGTTTCAATATATACATAGCTTACATCTGTTAGACATACACAGGTGTTCTGGATGAAATAATTAGCGAATGCCAAGAATTCTTAGTGATTTCTCAAGGAGCCGTCCCTCGGCGTCTGTTTTGATATTATCATGTAATTGCTGTGCTCGTATATTTTTATCTCGGAGCAAGCAAGGTCTCTTAGGCAACAGTCCCTCCTGCTCCCGATATTGATATCGTTTCTCCATCTGTGCCCCCAGGTGGCTGAGGCCTGTCTTAGGTTGCCTCCCCCTGGAGGTCTTACCTGTCATTGGCTAACCGGCCTTCTCACCTCCTGGTCACAGTTTGTTGGCAAGCTTTTTCCAGTGATTATTAACCCTTCCTGTGTCAGGGGCAGCTACACTCACCATCATGTGCAAATGGTTACTCAAGTGAAGACTCTAGGCGACCCTCTGCAGGTCTCTAGATCTCTCTCTCTTTCACTGGGAAACTCTCTCCTCTCTGATACTCTAGTCTGCAATATATACTCACTTTGGCATCCCTGCACTCCCAGCTTCCTTCTTCTTCAAGAAGACAACCAGGAACCACCTGCACTGCCCTCCCGGTGGACTGGAAACAGTCTCTGCAGTCATCTGGGAAACTGCAGCACTCACCTCACTAGTTTCCCTTCTTTCAAGGATCGCTGTCCTGCATTGACTGAAGTCGGGTGACTGAAAGCATAGTTTCGTATATGTTGTCCAGTTACTCAGTTCTTTCAGATAGGAGGGTAAATCTGATCCTTATTCCATTTTGATCAGAAACAGAATTTTCTGCATCAACTCCTAAATTTTTTATTTTTTGTCTTTTAGTACCTAGCCATGACTTGGTTTTATTTTATTCCTGTCATGTTTTTGTTTCTCCCACAATTGACTATCATCCACTAGTAGTATATTCTAATATTTTAAATTCAATAATATGTTTTTATTCAGACCAACCTCAGTTTATTTAAGTATTAATTAAGAAATATTTTGTGTTATCATAAAGATTTCTTGTATGCAATTCATAAGAATAAAATTAACTTTTCTTATTTACATTTTGTTTAAAAGAGAATATATGAAGGTATCATGTTGACTGAAACTTGCTTTACAAATTCTAGAAAAGGGTAATTATTATTATCATATTTCCCAGTAAGAACTTTTTTCCAAACTAAATTTAAAGTGTCAATGTTCTACTAACCCAAAACTTTCAAATAATATCTAATGTTTATTGAGCTCTTACTATTTGTCAGACATCGTTTAAGAGCTTTGTATGCATTGGCTCATTTATTCCTCAAAACGTGTGAAGTAGATGACTGCATTAGTCAGGGTTCTCCAGAGAAGCAGAACCAATAGGAGGTAGGTGTGTGTGTGTGTGTGTGTAATACAAAGAGATTTATTATAAGGAATTGGCTCACGCAATTATGGAAATAGGCAAGACCCAAGATCTACAGGATGAAACAGTAAGCTGGACACTTGGAAGAGGCAATGGTTTAGTTCCACTTTGAGTCTGAAGCCTGAGAACCAGGGAGCTGATGGTGTACTTCCTGTCTGAAGGTTGGAAGGCTGGAGACCCGTAAAGAGCTGATGTTTCAGTTTAAGTCCAAAGTTAGAGAAAAAAATAATGTCGTAGCTCAAAGCCGGGAAGAATTCTCTCTTACTCAAGGGACAGTCAACCTTTTTCTTCTATTCAGACCTTCAACTGATTGGATGAGACCCATTCACATTAGGGAGAGCAATCTGTTTTACATAGTCTAGTGATTCAAATGTGAATCTCATCCCAAAACACCCTCTCTGACATACTCAGAGTAGTGTTTTACCAAATATTTAGGCACCCAATGGCCCAGTCAAGTTGACACATAAATTTTATAAACCTTATAGCTGAAGCAACTGAGTCCCAGAAAGGTAAATCATTTGGCATTAACAGTTGAGTCAGGATTTGAACCCCATTGGTCTGTCCCCAGAGCATATTTAATTATTCTGCAGGGTTACTTCTCATAGAATTTCCTGGAGATTAATTTTGAAAACAAACATTTTAAGATGTCTCTTGAGAAGAAAGAAAATAGGAATTTGATTTTAGTGATAATGATGAATGGAGTCTTGCTTTTATTTTTCATGCAGATGGACATCTACAGAAATTGAGCTCTTATCTCAACCTTATCTAAAATCTTTAGGTGGTATTTCCCAGTTAGACAGGCGGTAGGGACACTGTTGCATATATATTGAAGATGAAATATCCACTATCATACTTACCCCACGTCTCTAGCAAAGGTTAGAATTGGCAGAAATGGCAGGAAGAAATGCAAAAATTTGGTCTTAATTAACAAAACAACAAAAATAGTAAGAATAATAATCCCTTATATTTTCTTCGAATGTTATGATTCTAATTTTTATGGTAAGTTTTATTTAGACAAAAGACAGGCAATTTCTGCTTTCTAAAATTTAGAATAAATTGCTCTATTATAATAACGCATTAAAATTATTATTATGCTAGACATCTTAGAAAAGACTGTATCTTCTATACAGTATCTTGCTCTTACTACAATAAACAATAATAATTTGTTTCAATGAACATTCTCTTCTGGGTTATTTTAATATTAAGAGAAATTAAGCTCCAATTTTTATGACTTATAAAGATGCCACTTAAAACTAGAAAAACTGTGATGCCTGGTAGAAAAGTAGTTTTTATAAATGGGAAGTAAAAGGAAGAATATTCTCCAAAATGCCACTCTTCCCAGGTGAGATACGGCTGGCAACATTATTATATATTCAAATATATCATATGGACATATGGTTTCTAATTTTTGGCTTAGGCAAGTGTTGATCTCTTGTATTTTACCTGTAGCTAAAGCCATAAAATCAGAATGATTTGCTTATGAAATTTAGCTTTTTCTCAGAATTTTCCATTTAATAAGAACTGTCCTAATTTTTCCGTTCTTATGTAAATTTAAGAAAAACTGAGCTTAAGTGAACACGGGATATTATATTTTACCACAGTTCACTTTGTCTCATTTATCCCCTACTATTTATACATATTTTGATCTTTTTATTGAAAATATAAGTTGTTTACTTCTTAGATTGTTTTTCTTGTACTTTTGATGACTATCCACATTTGTAGGTATGCTTGCAAGTCACCAAACAAAAAATAAACTATAAAAATATGATCACCCTGTGTCTTTCAGAGGATTATGATACACAGTTCTATTGTCTGGATAGCATCTTATTTCATGATCTTTTTACATATTTAAACAAATTAATTTGATATGATCTCTAAAGTAGCAATACACGCTGATCTAAAGTAATTGTTGAAAAAATACTAATTTCGAAGTTAATGATGTTGTGTAATGTAGAGAAGTTTGATGCTGTTCAAATATGCTTAGAGATTGGAAAATTAGAACAGCAAAAGGGGACAGTCTGTGATTCCCAGGCATCCGACCTCACTTTAGCTCCCTACTTAAAGAAGGGAACTTGTTTCCAGACCTCAGTGAATCCACGTTTGTCCTGCTGCCCCTGCTGCTGAATAGAAACCAAGTTCACCTTCCGATGCCGCTGCAGGAACTGTGGCGTCAGCACCACCACCTTCATGCTGACACAGACTCTGTGTAGTTGGTGAAGATGCTAGAGCCTCCTGTGGATTCAGCGAGGCTTCTACTGTCTTCTCACCTCCAGTCTCAGGTGCAGAGCTTCAGTGCCAGAACCTGACACTCCGCTGTCAGGGAAATCTGGAAATGTAATTTAGGAGCTTCCAGACTCAGGCAGATTAAGAAGAGTAGATGTGGGGATGAATATCAATGGACAATATTGGGCAGTGTGCTCTCTGCATAGTGTACACAGAATGCCTATCATGGCAACTTATAATGCGGCTTTTGACACTTTCAGCAAATCTCAAGGTTACAAAGCAGTAATAAAATCAATCACTTTTAATAGTACTTCCAAATCTGGCGGCAAACAGGATCAGTGCATTGCAATGCATGTTTGATTTGCCTTTATTACAATATTTTGAAAGGTCACCAAAAAGAAATTTAATTCTTATATGAACACTAAGCATATGTAAAACATGTAAATAAGATTTGACTCTGATTTACATCAGTGATCTAGTTTCTACCAATAAAAATCACATCATATCATTTCTCTCTTTTAAATGCTCCTCTGATGCTTACTACTTTATAGTAAAATCCGAAGCAGCCACATCTTGCTAGTAGCCATGATGCCTGGGTCAGAGTGTAGCTTGAATCTCATAGAACACCCTAATCACCTCACTCACCATGTCCTCTGACTTGCTCCCACATGGGAAACCACTTTTAAGGACTTTGTCACTAACTAGTCTCAATGCCTACATGCTTCTTTCCTGGTTTTTGGCATGGCTGACTCCTTCTAATTTATTAAGTATCAGCTCAAATAGCATCAGAAAGGCCTTCGAACCAAGTCCATTTCAATCAATCAATCCCACCAACAAAGGCTCTCTAGCCCATTATCCAGTTTCATTTTTTAATAGAACTCATCGTTACATATATTTACAGTAGATGCTATTTTTGGTTTATGCATTTATTGTCTCTCCCCCTCCTTACTTTAACATAAGTACTACAACGGTAAAAATTTGTTTCTCTTGATCTCTGCAGTTGTAAGTGCATCCAGAACAGTTCTTGTTGTAGGCAAACCATAAATATGTTTGAGGAGTCATCTAAGGAATTAACGGATGTGTGATCCTCATCATACACATACATAGCCAAACATTAGATGTTGTGATAGATACTGCCAACTGAATACTCAAGATTCATTTTCTCCTCCTCTTCTTAAAATAATGAATTAAGATGGTAAGACTCTTAGCAAAATAATACTAATCTCCCAGACACCTTTTCAGCTAGGTTTGGTCATGCTCCTGAGTTCTGACCATTAAGATGTCAGAGATTTATATGTCTTCTCAATTTCGAATCATGTGTGTGATAAGTGGGGAAGTTTCATTTCATGACAAAGTGTTTCCCAGTCTTCACTGTTGCTTCCTTTGATATTCTCCTGTCTGACTCATAGATGGGGGGTTGAATGATATAATTTTTGTTTTTCTTTAGGAAGATTAGCCCTGAGCTAACTACTGCCAATACTCCTCTTTTTGCTGAGGAAGACTGGCCCTGAGCTAACATCCGTGCCCATCTTCCTCTACTTTATACATGGGACGCCTACCACAGCATGACTTGCCAAGCGGTGCCATGTCCACACCCAGGATCCGAACCAGCGAACCCCGGGCCGCTGAGAAGCGGAACATTCGAACTTCACCGCTGCGCCATCAGGCCGGCCCATGAATGATATGATTTGAATAACACACATCTAACGTCACCCATATCCTCAATGGTTTAGTGAGGCCTAAAATCTATGTTGCCTCCCTCCAATTTCAGAGCTTAATGCATGAGCATATGCATCAAGATTCAGCATCACTACTTGGAAGTTTCTCTGAATAACAAGAATCTACCTAAAGATTGGCATGGCATATCCTACAGACAAGATAACTCAACCTGTTCAAAACCATTTCCTCTTACTCTTCTTTGCCATGGAAGTTATAAAACTAAAATAATCACCCTTCTAGACTCCTTTTCCAAATAAATCGGCCATGTGAGATGTACCTGGCTGAGGAGATGTAAGTCAAGGTTTCTGGAGATAGGCTCCCTTCCGTTCAAAGATGCAGAGATATATACCAAAGGTGTTAAGCCCTTCCAACTAACTTTTTCTGCCAGAACTGTAGGTGCAACTCCTAGAGGTCCAGCACTCATTGCGTGACTAGGAGGATAAGTGCTGCATGCTCAGGAAGGCAGGGCTTGAAGACAGAGCCCGGGACCCTGGTTCCATTGGTGTTTTGCTGAGCCCTGAACCTCAAACCTGCACATTTTCTTGATTGTCTCATGGGAGAAAATGAATCCTCTAATTGTTTGAGCCAGTTTTTATGGAGTCTTCTATTGTTCACATCTGAACTCAACCTTGGCTGAAATAGAATTCATACTAAATATTACGTAGAACAGGAGTCAAAAAATTGTGGCCTGAAGACCAAATCCAGCTGGCCATTGTGTGGGTAAAGAAAGTTCTACTGGAACACAGAACACATTTACATGCAATCTTGGGTATTTAAAAATTTCCTGAATCTCTCACATGATTATGAAATTAAAGTGCAAAATGCTTTAAAATGGAAACACTTTGTAGCTATATGACCTTGGACTAGTCACTCATCACCAGTTAAAAGTGGTGACTCCTGATCGTCTAAGTTTCTTAGTCTCTCAATCTATGATAGCAAAAAACCCCACTAAAATCATTTATACTCGGTTTTAACTTTCAGCTCTTTGTACCAATCCTGGTGTATACGTTGGGAAGGTAAAAAGAAGAAAATATTTTTAAATGGTGTATAAATGTATTGGAAATTAGAAATAAGACTCTGAGCTTTCACAAATACTAAAAATTTAATATCATAGATGATATGTAGTAATTTAGAAGACAGAAAACAATCACTAAAGTGTGTCTAAATGCATCGTGTGTTTATGCCTTCTAGGCGGTCTCCAAAGATGGCCGCTGTCCGTCTCCTCCCTCCTTGCATAGGACACAGCTACACATAGCAAGAGGTGGACCAGCCCTGTGACTTGCCTCAACCCGTACAGTGCATTGGAAATTATGATCTGCCAGTTCTGGGCCCATCCATAAGACACCTAGCTGCTTCCCTCTGAAGAGAAGACAGATGTAAGAAATCCAGATACCTGGAGACCACCTTGCTGTAAGGACGCCCAACTTAGCCATGTGGAGAGACCATACATGGAGAAAAACTGAGAAATTCAATTGACAGCCCGAATGAGGTCTTCAGAAATACGACTCCTATGGAAGCATCCCAGTCAGCTCCCAGCCATTTGAACCATCCAGCTGAGTCCTCTGTATGATAAAGCTGAGTGAGCCATCTCTGCTATGTCCTGTCTGGATACCCGACCAAAAGGATCATAGGAAAATAAATTAGCCGTTCTTTTAAGTCACTGAGTTTGAGGCAGCTTGTTAATGCAATGATAGATAATAGATAATGTATTTATTAGACAATAATAGATAATAATAGGAACATCAAGTCATCAGTTATGTTTTAATATACCCTTTTGTTTCTTTGTAAAATGAAATCAAGGTGACTATCTCAGCTTTGAAATTTCACATTCTGGAGTCTAGTTTCAACTTCCCTTGTAGCCTTCTGTAGTTTATCCAAACCTTAATGTATTATTTTTAAGACATTTTTATTCAGATACTTCAAATACAAGCAAAAGTTGCAAATCACCATGCAAGACATGTCTGGCAAGTTCTCATGATATCCCATTGGTTGACATAATCCTCAGGGGCAGCACACTGCAATCATTCTAATTCATTTAACATTTCTTGATAACTTACTTTAAGCATGCTCTGGGCAAAAAAATAATAAGCTATGATCCATACCTTTACATAGCTCACAATTTGTCGGAGGAAGATACCTTATTTAAATATAATGCATTTAGAGCTATAATAGCAATCGTTAAAAAGTGTATTGGAAATTTTCAATGCATTTTTTCCAAACATGATTTTTCAAAAGTTCAACTCAAAGGATCTAGCTAAATGTGAGCTGAGATCCAAATCAACTGGTCAAAGCTTTTTTGACCAGCATAGTACCTGACTCAGGCCAAATTGATTGGATTCTCACTCTTACAATATTTTCATAAGGACTCAGGTACTTTTGTGAGTTAATATGAGCTCCTAAACTGCAAGGTTTTCAGTGTCTATGAAGGCTGTGTTTGGTCACGTGCTCAGAGACCTAGAGAAAACTGGTCTTCAGAAAGAAGTAAAAGATGCAGAAAGATGTATAGACAAAATGCCATATGGATCCTGACAGACAGAGAGGAAGAGAGCAGAGGAAATAAAGATATCTGCCATTCCTGGTTCTGGTCCCTCTGGAGACCTGACAAAATATGCAGCTGAGAGCTATCCCATGTCCTAGCAGTTCGTTTCCCTTTTTTATTTGAACCAGCTTGAAGAAGTTCTGTTATTGTATCCCAAATTTTATGCAGAAAACAGACACACAGATATTGGAGAAAAGAAGTCTGTTTCTTTCAAATAATAAGGATTAAGATAATCTTAACAAAGCCCTTGAAGGTGAATTAGGCAGTCTAGGAAGATGGAGAAAAACTGGAGGATGAAAAAAACTACAAGCAATTGGAACCTCAAACCCATGCAAAAAGCATAGGTCTTTTGGGAAACACCTTTGCTTCTGCGTAACTGGTAGCATCTCTGGGGGCAGAGTAGCTGGAGGTGAGGCTGAAAAGGATGGTTCTGGCAAGTTTGAAATGGATTATAAATATCATGCTACTGAATTCAACCTATCCATATTAGATTTGAGGAGCCATAGAAGACATTAAAGGAAATGAAATGACAATGTGTCTTCTATTTTCTTATGGGTGTAAAGTAAAGGCAACTTTTGAGGTCTTATCTAATTGGTAGATATAATAGCACATGACTTATGATATACTTGTGGGTTTATGTGTTTCTTCTTGGCATTTGCATTCTGGGTGCAGAATGGCTGCTTAGGAAATAAATATTATGCAATTTCTCATGTAATATGTATAAACCAGTAATAGTACATTTTCTACCCAAAGTCATGGTTGATGGTCTCATTTATTTTTTAAGTGACCAAAGGGACTAAAGACCCTCCAGACATCTCTAATGAAATAACTTACTTGTGTCAATACACTAGCCTTCTTGAGAAATGTCTATAATTCCTAACTGTGGTTATATTTTTAATATCCAGCAATATTTTTTCTTTGATTTTTGTAGAGGGAGATACAAAGTTATACAGTTTCAAGGACATACACAGCTGATAATAACTAAGGCTGTGATTTCACTGCAGCACTTGTTTCCTGATATGTTCAAAGTATTTGTCATGTACTACAGCAATGGACTAAGCCAACGGCCTGTATTTGCATATGGTTCAATACCCATGACAGATAATCTCATTCTAAACAGCAAACGGAGCTAAAAGCACCATTTATCAAATTTATCATACTTTGCGTTATCTCCTTCCCCTCTTCCAGTTACAAACTTTATAAAAGAAATAACAACCTTTTTTTTTGGTAAGTCTCAACATTAACCTCAATATGAATGTCTTCATTAGATATGGAAACAAAAAGCATTGCAGAGTTCTTGAATCAAATCATAATCTGGTAATGTGGGCAATATTTCTTAATTTCTTGGCCAAAGCTCTAGTCTTTTTCAACTTTGCACTACTATGAGCTTGGACATAAAATAGACAACTTAGAAAGTCAGATTCATCTTAGGCTAATACTAGACATTTATGATTAAGATCTATTACTCACAGAAATAAATTTCTGCCCCTAATGATATAACACCAAGTTGTATTTGGTTCACATTACCCTTTAAAAATAAATAAAGTCCAATTTCATTTTCTTTACTCTGTTCTTTTCTATGTTATTTTCTCTCTAGAATTTCCTATTGCTACTTCATCCAACCTTTAAAATTCATTGTTGTTCTTGTAGTTGACTTTTCCTGTAGTTCCATCTATTTTTCTTTTACAACATGAAAGTAAACTGGATGATGATTAACTTGTTTATCTTCATTTATAAGTGGTTAGGTCTATTTAAATAGTATGCATTTAAAAATTTATGCAAATAAAAATTAGTTTCCATTTATATGTAAGCATTCAAGTATTTTGTTTCTTCTCATTTTGCCATACTAATAGGCTCATATTTCTCACAGAGAAATTATAGTTTTTACACATTTATCTCACACAATTTTTATGGGGGCACACTGTTGCTATTCCTTCAATAATGTTATAATATATGGTAAATGATATTTACTATAAGAGTCTGAACTATAGAAAAATAATGTTGATACTAAAATTCAAAATAACAAGCATTTATAAAGCTATGTGAACATTTTTTTTATGATGTTGTCTTGCATGATGATTTCAGTCACATTTTTTTTTACCAAATAGATAATTCAAGAGGTTATCAACCTCTATCAGATTTCTGGCTGATTAGGGCATATTATAAGCTGTCTACAAAAGTGTTTGTTAGATAATATTAATATAGAAGCACTACTCATACAAACAGCATAAAGAATCAAATTCACAATATGCCTCAAACTCTGAAATACAGTAAATGAGAATCTATCCACATATTTTCTTCCCAGACTTCTCATGGGGCCCAAGAAACACCCAGCAAAAGCAAATCTAATACAATACTTAAGACTTATTAAAATACTCATTGAAATTCACTGATTATCTACAAAAGAATATGTGCTATAAGAAAAGATAGCATGTTGTAGTTAGACATTATTTATAAAATAATGGAAAAATAAAGGCGGCTCTAATTTTAGCATCGATGGCCAAGAAGCTCTGGATATTTTAATTTCAATGAAGAGGAAATGTGTTCTTATTGAAGATATTTGAAACTCTAGTTATCTAAGTTTATTGCTTTACCTTATATAACAGTAATACTGTGGCTGACACTGAAAAATATTATAATAATACAAGAGGTTATTATAATATCACGTTAATAAATGATAGCAATGTGTTGGACATTACACAAAACAAAACTTATAGGCACACATTCTGCTGAAGGAATTTTTACTCTAGAAAAAAATAGCTAAGTTTTAGTTTGCTAAATGTTGTTTTAATGCTTTATGTGCTTTACCTCATTTGTTCATCAGAAGGACTCATTTTACATATGAAGAATCCAAAGCTCAGATAAGCGGTTTGCTTTGAATTACATACCTAATAAACGGCCAGTAGCAGCGAGTCAGTCTGGGCTCATCATAATTAGACAAAGAGGATGGCTCTGCAGACACTCAAAAGAAAAGAAAAAATGGAGTAAAATTAATAAGAATTTTATTCGATATTCAGTTTTATTATCAATCAAATTTGAAGATGCTAACTGTCTTAATAGAAAATACTCTTTGTGAGCAAGAAAGGCAAGCGCTCACTAGATGAGAAGCTTATGCACAAATGCAGGAGAAACTTTCATGGGAACATAGGCTAAAATTTAAATCTGTAGAGATAGAGATTCTAATCAGATGGGGTATAGAGTTCTAAGAAAAAAACACCTTTAACAATATTTTTTAAAAATACTATAGATGTCTAACAGACCAAAACTTCAGCATTTTTAAAATACATGAGGAGTGAGCTGTTTCTGGAAAATGATTCTTGAACTCAAGAGAGAAGCTCCATTGTCTGAATGTGATGAGTAACTGTGGCGCCATGTTGCCACCAACCAGAGGATGAAGCCAGCACCCAGGGTGTCAGAGTAGAAGGGCAGAAAAGCCCAAATCCTTCAGTTACTGAATCAAGCACCTCTGAAGGTGTCCTCCCACTAGACCAGTACTTCCTAGAATTTTTATGATATAAATATTAAATGATGCTATTTGTAAATCACACTGATATTGACCAGTTCAGTAGAGCCAGCTGCCATGGCCTATTCAGCTGCCCTGAGGGTGGACAAGATAACTCCTTCAGAACATTCCATTCACAGACCATGGGCCATCAGATGAAATCCACCCCATTTAGGCCTCTGCTCTAGACTATGCATCATCAGGGACAATAAATTTTATTTTAACACAGTTTGAATGTTTTCTGTTGTTTTCAGCCATAAAGCTTCTACTGATACCAAAACCTCATAGGATTGGTATCAATTAAGTATACTTTTAGCTACAGGTAAATGAAAATCTGGCAAATTTTGCTTAAAAAAATGGGAGTTTGTTTCTCATATAAAAAGTTTGGAAAAAGGCGGTCTAGAACTCGTAGTCACTCAACAGTACCATCAGAATCCCAGGCTCTCCTCTCTACTTGTTTATCCACTTGGAGTTATTGCTTCACAGTACAGGAATCTCGACTGCTGTCAAGCCAGGCATTGCATCTATGTTTATGAGAGAAAGAAGAGAAATCAAAACAACTCTTTTCTTAAGGTGTTATCTTTTTGTTTGGGAAGGACAACCAGCAGAGTTCCCATTATATCTTTTTTAGCTGAAGTTGGTCACATGCTCATCCCTTAGAGCTATCAGTAAAAATAAGTTGTCGTGCTGGCTTCAGTCCAATCATGCTAGGTTAGACATCCTTCCTGGAATCAAAGGATCTCCTTTGGCTGCCTGAAGAAATTGAAGCTTGCTTACCAGGGAAGCAGGGGACTTGGAGGAACAGATTTTCACAGAAGGAACAATGTTCTGTACTTGCTATGGGGTTCTTGTAAGGCTTACTCAGATACAAAACTCTTAGTACAGTGCCTATTATGCAACAGTCATTTAATAAATGTTAGCTATATTATTATTATCATCATTATTATCATTGTGGTCAAATCAGTAGCATATTCATCTCAGTCCTATAAACATCAGAATAATATTTCCTTTCATTAAAAAATGGGGAGAGTGGGGGCTGAATCCATGGCATAGTGGTTGAGATCAGTGTGCTCCACTTTGGTGGCCCAGGTTCGTGGGTTTGGATCACAGGCATGGACCTACACCACTCGTCAGCCATGTTGTGGTGGTACCCCATGTACAAAATAGAGGAATATTTGCACAGATGTTAGCTCAGGGTGAATCTTCCTCAAGTAAAAAGAGGAGGATTGGAAACAGATGTTAGCTCAGGGCAAATATTCCTAAAAAAAAAAAAAGAGAGAATGCTCTTTTCTCCCATTATTTCACTTCACATTTATATCTATCATCTCTTTCTCTCTCTCTCTCTCTTTCTCGCTCTCTCTCTAAATATATATATATATATATATATATATACACAGATGTATATGACTTTTTATTGTAGTAAAAACAGATAACATGAGATCTGCCCTCTTAAATTTTTTTGTATAGTACAACATTGTTAACTATAAGCAATGTTGTTCAGCAGATCTCTAGAACTTATTCATCTTGCATAACTAAAACTTTATACCTTTGAACAACATCTCCCCCGTGCCCCCTCTCCCAAGGTCCTGGCAACCACCATTCTACTCTCTGCTTCTATTAGATTGACTATTTGAGATTCCTCATATAAGTGGTATCATGTAGTATTTATTTTTCTATGTCTGACTTATGTCACTTAGCATGATGTCCTCCATGTTCATCCACGTTGCCACAAATGGAAGGATTTCCTTCCTTTTTAAGGCTAAATAATATTCCATTTTGTGAGTGTGTGTGTGTATCACATTTCCATTTTTCATTCATCTACAGATGGACACTTAAATTGTTTCCAAGTCTTTGCTATTGTAAATAATGCTGCAATGAACATGGGAGTGGGTATCTATTCAAGATCTTGATTTCAGTTATTTTGGGTATATACTCAGAAGTGAGACAGCTGAATCATATGATAGTGCTATTTTTAATTTTTTGAGGAACCTCCACACTGTTTTCCGTAGTGGTTGCACCAATTTACCTTCCCACCAATGGTGTACAAGGGTTCCCTTTTCTTTACATCCTTGCAAACAATTGTTATCTTTTGTCTTTTAGATAGCAGCCATTCTAGGTGTGATGTGACAGTTCATTGTAGTTTTGGTTTGTATTTCCCTGATGATTAATGATGTTGAGCACCTTTTCATACACCTGTTGGCCAGGAACTGAACAGACATTTGTCCAAAGAAGATATACAATGGCCAACAGGTATATGAAAAGATGCTCAATAGCTTGTCTTTTTGAGTTCCACAGAAAATCACATAGATATAGCTTCTTCCATTTTCTCCAGCTGCTCTATATCCGGGGCTAAATCTGGTGCAAAATATCATACTTTCCATCTCGTCTCTCCAAAGTTATTCCATAAATGCCACATAAAAAACCTCCTCCAGAAAAGTCTCTCTTCCCATGCAAATTTCCTTATATCCATGTGTGTCTTCTACACGCCATCACATACTTCCAGACTGTCTGATTTTCAGTTTAGAGTCCACTAAACTGTGGCTTGCCTTTACATATCTAAAGAGCCCTATTATCTGTTGTATTTTAGCAAGAGGACAAATTCCTCACTGATTAGCCTGGCGTATATTACACCATTACTTGAGATGTATTGTTTCATATCAAGGTGTTTTCACTGGTAAAAGTGAATATATACATATGCTACACTATTGCTAATTAATACCTTTGTGTAGTTTAGTTTAATGAGTTTTTTTGGTCACCCTGTCTCTCTTAACAGATGCATTTTGATGGAAGAGAAGAGACAGGATTGACATAAAATTTTCACTACCACCAACAGAACGCAAGCCAGCTCAGGCCACTCTGCTGGAGAGCCCTGCATAGCCAAAGGCTCAGATTCACAAGACTTGGTCCTGTGCATAGAAGGGATCATGACATTTGGGTCTTTTCTGAATAAAGTTTGAAAAAAAAAGTCATCACAGGTTTTCCTCTGAAATACTTTTTTCACTTCATGTTGGTTGATAACTCTACAATTCATCCCATTTTACTTTGAATAATGGGATTCAAAGATCCTCACAATTTTAAAATGAAACACATCTGAGACTATCTAGTACGGGAATGAAGCATGAAAAGGCTTCTGAAACTTTTGAAATGGAAAATGGAAAAAAAAAAAAACCTGTGCAGATCAAAATGCATTTCATGTTCAAAATTTTCCAAAGAAACAGACTTCCTGAAACTATTTTTCATAAGTTAGTTTTTGGTTCAATTGGTCAGTATAGGATAATAGAATCAAACATTGCCGTATTTATTGCAGCTTTCAAAAAAGAAAGTATTACTCTTTTCGAAGTAGTTTTAAAGACTAAAACTGTCAGCAACATTATTGTCTTATATTTTATGTAAAAATGCATTTTATTATTTAATGATTGAAAGCTCTCATTGATTTGCTTTTCAAACACCTCTGGACACAAAAGTGACTAGTAATGCAAATAGTGAAAGAAAGTGATGCTGAAACTCTGACATTATATTATTGTGATGGTTCATTTTATATGTTAACTTGGTTGGGCCCAGACATGTAGTCAAATACTATTCTGTATGTTTCTGGGAGGGTATTTTTGGATGAGATTAACATTTAAATGGGTGGACTTTAAGTAAGGCAGATGGCTTTCCCTAATACGGGTAAACCTCATCCAGTCAGTTAGTTGCAGGCCTGAAGACAGCAAAAGGCTGATCTCCCAGAGCAAGAGAGAATTCGGCCAGCAGGTGGCCTTTGGATTCAAACTGCAGATTTTGGACTTGCCGGCCTCCATAATTGCATGCGTCAATTCCTTAAAATAGATCTGTGTGTGTCTGTGTGTGTGTATGTGCATATATCCTGTTGATTCTTTTTCTCTGGAAAACCCCGACTAGTACAATTATATAGGTGGCTTTGGTCTATTAAAGTAAAAAAGGGGTAAATGTCAGTTTAGAAACTGACATTATATATATATAAAACGAGAACTTTGTTGAACTCATGAGTATTCAAAGATACTTGAAATAATATAGCACTTTATATTTTTACTTATTGAATTTCTATCTTTCATAACTATATGGACCATGTATTCTTCTGGTGGGAATGTAAGTTGATTAAACCTTTCTGGGAGGTTGCTTTGTAATATGTATCAACATACTATACTAAAAAGTATAATATTACACACCTATTAGAATGCCCAAAATCTGAAATGCTGACAATACCAATGGTAGCAAGGATGTGGAGCAACAGAAGCTCTTATTCATTGCTGGTGGGAATGAAAATGGTCAGTGACTTCGGAAGACAGTCTGGCGATTGCTTACAAAACTAAACATACTCTTACCATATGATTTACAGATCATGCTCCTTGGCATTTACCCAATGTAGCCACCCCTGATGCAGGAAGGGTTAATAATCAATGGAAAAAGCTTGCCAACAAACTGTGACCTGGAGGTGAGAAGGCCGGTTAGCCAATGACGGGTAAGACCTCCAGGGGGAGGCAACCTAAGACAGGCACCAGCCCCCCAGGGCCACAGATGGAGACACGATATTGATATCGAGAGCAGGAGAAGCCGTTGCCTAGGAGGCCTTGCATGCTCCGAGATAAAATATACGAGCACAGCAATAACATGAAAATATCAAAACAGAGGCCAAGGGAGGTCTCCTTGAGAAATCACTAAGAATTCTTGGCATTTGCTAATTACATTGTCCAGAACGCCTGTGTATGTTTAACAGATGTAAGCTATGTATATATTGAAACACTGGTTATAATAAACTCAGAGTGGCCATCAGCCCTCTCTGCATCTATCCTGATGTGTACATTGGATTGCAACACCGACACCCAAAGGACTTGAAAGCTTGTGTCCACAAAAGAACCTGCACGCAGATGTTTATAGCAGCTTTATTCATAACTGCCAAAACTTCGCAGCAACCAAGCTGTCCTTCAGTAGGTGAATGGTTAGTCCAGACAATGGAATATTATTCAGTGCTGAAAAGAACTATTAAGCCATGAAAAGCCAGTGAAGAAGCTTAAATGCCTATTACTAAGTGAAAGAAGCCAATCTAACGAGGCTACTTACTGTATGATTCTAACCCCATTCTGGAAAAAGGAAAACTATGAAGATCAGTGGTTGTTAGAGGGTTGGGAGGGGGAGATGACCAGGTAAAGCACAGAGGATTTTTAGGGCAGTTAAAATTGTATGATATTATAATGAAGGATATATGTCATCATACATTTGTCAAAATCCATAGAATATACACCGAGTGAACTATAATGTAAACTATGAAATTTAGATAATAATGATAAGTCAATGTAGGTCCATCATTTGTAACAAATGTACCACCCTGGTGGGGGATGCTGTTAATGGAGGCACTTATGCATGTATGGGGGCAGGTGGTATATGGGAAATCTCTGTACTTTACCCACAATTTTGCTGTGAACCTAAACTGCTGAAAAGTTAAACTGTTAATTTAAAAAAGCACATAATATTTTTTACTAAGAATTTATATCTGATAATTTACTTAAGCAAATATTTAAAATTAAAGCAAAAAACAATGTGTTACACATTTTTTACTATAATATTACTTATTAAGATGAGAACAAGAAGCTTAATTATTGACAGTTCTTTGTAGAGTTGAATCATCTATACAATTAATTGATAATTGTCATTCACTTTGCTAAAAAATAGCATTTATAGATATTCCTCATGATAAAGTGATAAAATATATTGTGAAACAAAATGCTGAATGTTTGTAAGGAAAAATCATGCAGACTCACACTCATAGTTGAGGTGACTTTTTAAAGTATTATTTTTCAAGCCACAGTGGTTTCTTCATTCTGGGTTATTGGTTAAAATGTCTTTAGGAGGCAAATATATTCTGGAGAATAAAGCATTTGTTCAGAATCTTTAGTCATGCAGCTATAAGTTAATTACAGGCATCTTGGGGTGACCTGAAATTAGTAGAATAATCCTAACACAGTATTCTGTTAAATAATATAAAACACTTTGTTATTTGGGAGTGAAATTTAATTCACCTCAATTAAAAATATTTTTGTGTAGTCTATTTATAAACAAATACAAAGCTAGGTCATGGGAACAGTGGAGTGATGTCATGCTATCTTCATGCTGTTTACAGAATTACAATTCATTAATTGTTTAATACCTCATGACAAGTACTAAACAATTCTTTCCCAATAAAATATGGGATCAAAATGTGGATGAACATATGAAAGGAAAGTATAGAGAGCCGTGAGAATACATAAACTGGAGTGGAGCTGGGAGGAATTCGTGGAATTGATGATATATTGGGCATTGAAATATAACAGAGATCTAGGTAATGAGGACGTCACACAGAGAAGGCCCTGAAAGAAGCTGAGTGGCCAAAATCCTGCGAGTGTAGGAAAGTGGAATGAGATGAAACTCAAAGGCTCCTCACATGTCAAATCATGTAGACTGAAACTGATTGTATTACTTGGGAAAATCATCCAAATTCTCTACACTTTAATTTTCTGATTGTTAGGTAAAGATAAATGAAAAGCACTAATAAAAGACAAATGCAGCAACAAACTTACCTTCCAGATTTTATTTTGAGATGCTAGGATGTAATGTACAGCATGCTGACCATAGTCATACCTCGATAAATTATAAAAGATAAATAAAAAAGCAAAAACAAAGCAGAATAAATCAGCAATAAAGTCTTTTGGAGACCACGTTGCTTTCTTAATGTGGCTCTGTTTTTATGTTCACCTTCAAACAAACCTGTTAAAGTTGTTTGATACCTGCTCTTTCTAGTTTTTCTTATCACTCATTCAGTCATGTCTAGCTCTGTCCTTGTTGCCCCAAACGTCACATTCCATAGTTATTGTCAATAAACCTGCTTTTAAATGCAATGCTTACATTTTCCCTTAGGAGCGAGGCTTCAGTTTCCTCACCCCCTTAACAATAGTTCACAAGGTCCACCATTCTCTCTTTCTTGAAACCTCATTTTGTTTGGTTTCTTTGGAGGATACTGTCTCCTGGATATTGATTCTATGTTCTACCGTATTTTCTCCATATTCTATCTTCCCCCTACAGACCATAAGTACTGAAGATCCTGAGGGCTCCATTGTAGACACCTCTACTTTTTCTTTTCTTCTGACTTTATTCTATGTGATCACATCCATTCTTATATTTAAAACATGCCATTTATATTCTGGAAAGTTTTCTGAGTCTAACTTCTCTTCTGAATTTTAGACTAACATTTGCCACTGTCTTCTCCACGTTTATCTTGCATGTTTGATAAGCATTGCAAATAACATGCCCAAATGTGTCTCTTTATAGTTCTCCTCTCATCTATGATGTTCCCCAAATCAATAAAAAGCACTATATTTTTTACCTCACTGTTTAAGTAAAAAACCTGGGAGTCTTTCTTGATTTCATCTCTCTAAGCACATTCAAATCCATTGCTAAACATTACCAAGTTTTCTTGATAAATATTATAAAAATTTTCCACTTTGTTTTGTCTCTATTACCACCAAGTGTCAAAATATCTGAATTTATCACAGTTTATTAAGATAAATTGTCTTTGTGTCTTGTAAGAGTACAATCATACTCTATATCGTGACCCTTTATAAATGCTTAATTAATCACATTAGTTCCCTTTCTGAAACTCTTCAAAGGATTTCCAATTCCTGTTAGATTTAATTCAGAACCTTTAGCATAGCTGAGGCCCTAGGTGATCTCATCTCTCAGATATCCAAGTTCACTTAGGCTATACTTCTTTTATTGCTATCAGTCTTTTGCATTTTCACTTACTGTCACTCCCCCAGAGAGGACTCCTTCTATATTGTCTAAGGTACCCCATCTTTCCTTAACTTAGATTAGCATTTCTCAACCTCAACGCTGTTGTGAACTTGGGCTAGGTAATTCCCTTTTTTGAGGGGGCTTTTCATGTGCCTTGTTTATCAGCATCCCTGGGCTACATCCGAGAGAGGTCAACAGCACACCCACACCCCCCTCCCCAACTGTGACAACCAAATTGTCTCCAGAAATCATCAATGTCTTTGCAAGCCAAACCACCCTTGCTGTAGAACCATGGATCTAGATTTTAGCATCATGTAGATGGTCGTCTTCAATATTGTAACAGTCTTTGTTTATATTAGTATTTAGTAATTTACTAGACTCTATGCTGCTTTGTTCCATAGAGATTTGGTCTCCATTTTGTTCATTCTTCATGATGTACCAAGCACAATGTCTCCCGATAGAGACAGCACAGAAAATTCTTTTTAGTAAACGGATAAAGGGAAATGCCATCATTCTCTGAGAACTAAAATGAAAGATGAACTCAAAATTTTACAGAGTTACTTAAGACAAAGTCTACTCTCAGCAAGCAAAAAATGATAATAATATTCTTGATTAAATCATCATATTTAAAAGGAAAGCTGTGTGGATCATTAAGAAATGTGCAACTAAGAAAAAAGTCAAGAAATTGAAACATTTGTTCAGAACTGAAAGTGTTCTGGTCAAAAGAATTAACTTAAATTGAAAATTATAATTTTCTACATTTTCACAACAAGAGTTATTACCTCATGATGATATAGATTTATTTCTTTTATAGTTTCTAAATTTAAAATATGACTAAATGATGAAGATCCACATAACTTGACATTACTATACACTAATGTGTGTTGAATATTTCTAATGTATACAAGATAATACATGGTACATGCATGTTTGCTTTTATATGGAAAATAATTGAGAATATTAAAGAATTAGACATAGTTTTATATTATTATGATGTTTAAAAGCATATGGCATATAAAACAATATTATTTAAACATATCAACATTGAGTGGCTAACAATATATTAACATTTTATACGTATCTTTGATATTTCAATTGTGCTCAATTCTGTTTCCCTTCTTCATTGCAATTAATGCACTCATCCACTTTAATTATAATTAATATAACTATATTAATGAGGTGTGTAGAAGTTTGTCAAATATCCATAGCCAAGATAAAGAGCAAAAAATATTTTCTTTGCCAAAGGTAAGGAGATTATAGTTCAATTTTTCAGTTCTAGATATGACTGCTCTTTTGCATATTTTAATGGGATTCCAGATTGTTGTTTATTCTATGAAGATAGAAGACTTGTGGCTAATTTCCTATATTTTCTTCAGTTAACAGAAACCTGTTTAATATCTCAAATAGCTACATTTATCAATTAACCACGAAGTTTTCCGACTAAATGGAGAGTATTATTATTAACCAAATATTTTCCACCATTTTCTTTTTCTCAATTGTTTTTAAAAGACAGCCATTGAGTCAGAAAATCAAATATTACAGAAAAAATGTGTAAGATTCACATTTGGACTTTGATGATTGTTGTGATTATAAGGTCAAAACTTCCCTTCCCCAAATACGTAACAAACATGGTAAGTTGTAAGTTTGCCTGAGATTTAATATGAAAACTTATTGTTATAATAAGGTTGTGACATCATGTTGTTTTCCAGTATATCTCTAATATATACAATTGAGAAAAAAAGGTCTACTTATTTTTTAATATGTTTTCAGATAGTAAACAGAATGTGCCGTACACAATGTAGATATAAATGTTAATGAATCACTTCCACTGACATATAGTAAGAGTTTTATCTAGAAAACACCATCATGGGTCTGGAACTGTCAATTACGTATATGATTTATGACTCCAAATGTACGCCCTACCTCTTTCTCATTCTTCTCCTTTATCATTTCACCTTATTTTTATGTTAACAATCATATAACCAATAATTTACCTTAAAATGTGGGCAGGGAAGAGTTAGCAGTGGGTCTATAAAATGCCCCCTGCCTTCTGGATTTGTTTGTGGCCTGTGGTCTTTTTTCTGTGACTCAGCTGTCCTGTAGACATGCCATTGGAATTGGCCGGCGGGAATATAACTGCGCTGATTGTAGGCACTGCTCTGTACTTAATCTCAGGTATAAATGCTTTTAGGAAGATATTCCTCTCCAGTCTAGATCAGTTATTAGAAATAAATTTGAAATTTATGGATTTATGTGGTACAATTGTCAGGAGAATGGACAATAATCACGTCAAATTTGAAGCTATAAAACTACCAAGTTATGAAAACAGACATACTCCAAAATTAAGTGGCTTCCTTGTAGCAGCCTCTACCGTATGCATTTTATCTCATCACTCTGGGAAAAGGCCTGTAGAAAGTTGCAGCTGAAGGACTCACTGTGAATGCTTCACTATTCTTTACCATCCTCAGTACATTTTGTTGTTGGACAAGACCTGTGATTCCATGTGAGTCTGTCTGACAATATAGTCCTTCGGAATAGCGCAAAAAAATAATATTTTTGAATGCTAATCTAAAAATATCACCTAAGAAAGAATATATACATATGATTTGATTTCTAGAAACATAGGGCTTTCATTTTTAATGTGTTATAATTTTTTGACATGAGTAGACAATAATATTGTCTCATTTTTCGTCAAGAATAATCTTTTTTGGCAACTGGAAAAAGAAAATTCAGCAACTTGCTCTTTTTTTTCTGTTTAGTTTATGTCCAAGTGTTCTTGATTCTCTCTAGCTTTGGGGTCTGTCATTCAGGACACTGTTTCACAGTAATGAGTAGTAGCCCCTATTTAGCTCCAGTTACTAAGTTTACATTATGCCATTATGTGTTATTAAACAGTTGGTAAGCATTTCAGATGCAACAATAATCACGTATCAGTAGGAAAGATGCAAATAGTGCTTTGCAAAGAAAAATAATAATGACATTTTCTGGCTGTTTTAGCACTTTCTTGTAAATTATTGTCTTATTTTACTTTTTAATATTCCTGAATTAAACATTGTCATATGAATAAATAGCACCTAATCTTTAGCAATAAAGAACACAAAGAGAGAAGAGGTTTTCAAAGTCATCTATAAAGAAAATATAAGTGGTTCCATTTAAGAAACATATTATTTCCTTATATTCAAGGATATATAATAGATTAAAAGAATATTTTCTTATCTACCAGCCCACTTTAGCTGTTCTTCCTGGTAAGTAAAGATAGTAAAGCAAGGGGGCCGGCCCGGTGGCGCAGTGGTTTTCACATTCTGCTTCGGCAGCCTGGGGTTTGCGGATTTGGATCCCAGGTGTGGATGTGACATCTCTTGGCAAGCCATGCTGTGGTAGGCGTCCCATATATAAAGTAGAGGAAGATGGGCATGGATGTTAGCTCAGGGCTAATCTTCCTCAAAACAAAAAAAAATAGTAAAGCAAGTTTCAGCCAAAGCATGTGAAATTGACTAAAAAAATTAAAATTAAATTCTGTAAGGGAAAATGGAAAAAAAATGTTTTCAATTAGATATGGAGTACAGTGATATGATATAAATTCTTTACTGATTATTAGTATGTGAACAGAGAAATGCCCTGATCCATGTTACCAAACTCTATCCCTTTTTGTATGTATATATTTAAATATATATATATTTGAATCAATAAGATTTAGTTCCTAAGATTCTAACTAGATCTTAGCCAGGAATAAGCCAATGACAGAAAAGATTTATTCTTGATGTAACAGCCTCAGGATCAATGCGCCCATCCAGAAGGGCTTGTTTTTTCAAAAGACAGGTGTGTGGCGGTATTTGAGTCGGGGGGATTGGTTGTATAAAAAGTGCATGTGTTACCCAAAGTTGGTCCATTATTCTTCAGATTTTATTGTTTAGATGATATTTGTTGGCATCAGCTTTATCCCATTTTTAGCATAATTGAAAATATGTCCCACACAGCGAAGTAGTAGCAGAAATGGGTTATTAACACCATAATTTACCACTCTCTATATGCAGCCAGGAAGAAAACCAGAATCATGTGAGTATCCTACTTTGTGACCAAGAGTGGAGGTCTAGACAAATGAATAATATTGCCACATGCCTCTATTTTGTCCATGCTATCAATAAAAATGCACCTTTTTTGTTTTGTTTGAAATATATAAGTAAACTGGAAGTCAGGTAAATTAGTTTCAAATACATCAGGTT